CACACACACACACACACACACACACGCACACACTACATTTGATTTTCTAACATTTTGTTTAGGATTTTTGCTTCTATATTCGTAAGGGAGATTGGCCTGTTATTTTTTCCTAATCATTCTTTTCAATTAGTGAGTAGGAGGCAGAGGGTAGAGATTCAAAAGTTCTTCTGTTTTTGTGGTATATTACAGACACTACTCCATTATAATACAGTATTACTTCATTTTTAAAAAATAAACTTTTTTTATTTTCAAATAATTTTAGATTTGCAGAAAAGATACAAACATAATAAAGTTCCCTATACCCCCTCCCAGTTTTTCCTATCATTAACATCTTACATTAGTAGAGTATATTTGTCAAAATTAAGAAGCCAACATTTGTACATTACTATTAACCTAGCTCCAGACTTTATTTGGATTTCACCAGTTTTTCCATTAATGACCTTTTTTTGTTCCCACACCCAATCTAGTATATCACATTCCATTTAGTTAGTTGTCCTATTTTCTTAGTCTCCTCTGGTCTTTGACAGTTCCTCATTCCTTCCTTGTTTTTCGTGTTTTTGACAGTCTTGAGGAACACTGGTCAGATATTTTGTAGAATGTCCTTCAGTCTAGATTTGGCTGATGTTTTTCTCATGATTAGACTAGAGTTATGGGTTTTGGCAAAGAATACCACAGAAGCGAAGTACCCTTCTCATCACATCATAGTAGAGAGTATGTGACATCCACCTGACATCACTGGTGATGGGAATCTTCATCACTTGGATAACGTGTGTTTGCTAAGTTTCTCCACTGTAAGTTTACTATTTCTCTCTTTTTATGCTCTATTCTTTGGAATCAAGTCACTAAGACCAGCCCATACTCAAGTGGAGAGGGAGGGATTAAGCTTTTTCTCCTTGGTTGGGGTGGAGAGTATCTACTTATATCATTTGGAATTCTTCTATAAGCAAGATTTGTTTCCTCTCTCCTATTATTTATTTATTCAATTGTTTATTTACTCCATTCTGTTTTAATATGAATTCTCTATAACATTGGTACATAATTACAACCTTGAAAACGTCTGGTTCTCCCATTGACATATAAACTCCTTGAGGGAAGGCTTTGTTTCTTGTTTAGCTTTGTACACTCTATGCATTTAGCATAGTCTCTTACTTTATAGTGGACTTCTAGTAATTTAAGAAAAATGAATGAATATATTTTTGCTTCAACTGAAAAGTACCCTTTCTCCAGCTAAATTATATAGTAGCATTCTAAATGTAAATTAAAAGTAGATTTTTAAATAAATAAAAGCAAACTCATGCATGAATGCATTGTAATAAGTATCTAAGAAAGCAAAGGGCACTGCAGAAATACCTTAACCATTTGAGGTTGATGTGTCTCTATGAAATATTACTTGAAACCACTTTTGGAAAGAGATTATGGTATTTGATAAGCCAAAGATATGACCTGCTGTGTCCTTTCTCTTTTTTGTTCAGACCATCAGAGGAGATTAAGACCCCATTTTCTGCCTTCTCTGGAAAATTATCATCTGATGCAGTTACTCAGATAACAACAGAAAGTCCAGAAAAAGCTGTATTTTCATCTGAGATTTTTATTAGTGCTGAAGATCAAGGACATGAAATTCCAGACCCCAGTGCCCAGAAGCTGGGCAAAGTTCCTGTCAAGTTTGCTTCATCATCTTCAGTCCAACAGATTACTGTTTCTCATGGCACAGATGGTAAGAGAATGTGATTGTGTTTTAGGTCATATTATGAACTTTTATATGTAATTATTTCATAAATTTGTGATTGTGTCTTTCTAGTCAGAAAACATGATTTTAGGGGCTGGCCCTGTGGCATAGCGGTTAAGTGCGTGCGCTCTGCTGCTGGCGGCCCGGGTTCGGATCCCGGGCATGCACTGACGCACCGCTTTGTCAGGACATGCTGTAGCGGCGTCCCATATAAAGTAGAGGAAGATGGGCACGGATGTTAGCCCAGGGCCAGTCTTCCTCAGCAAAAAGAGGAGGATTGGCATGGATGTTAGCTC